CGAAAGCGCTTGGGACAATGGACAATACAAACAATTTTACACCCCCCAAACGGAAAAATGTAAGAATGTCAGAAAAAACTAAATAAAAATGAATCAAATTCCATTTGTATATCATATTAAAACAAACATTTTTGAAAGATTGCTGCCCAAATACATTATATATATATATATATATATATATATAAATATATATATATATATATATATATATATATTTATTAAAGACATTTTATTTATGTTTAACGTTGTTATTTTTATAGATACAAGTATTTAAGCAAATGCTCTGTTTATGATAAACAGTATTAAATAACATTTACCGGCCTGAATGTCCGAGAAATTTTCATAGAAAATATTCGTTCATAGACAGGATTCGAACCTGCATCCTATACGGAACCGCCATATACGCTGGCGTGCCTTGACCACTCACCATGAACCTTATGGTAGACAAGGTCGAATTTACTGTTATAAACTACAATCTTCCATGAATCTCGTACATTCATAACTGCTCTGGCGTATCGAATGTAAACAAATGACGTCATATGTTAAGAAATGGACGAGGTCCGACAATTTATTTATTAAAGACATTTTTATTTATGTTTAACGTTGTTATTTTTATAGATACAAGTATTTAAGCAAATGCTCTGTTTATGATAAACAGTATTAAATAACATTTACCGGCCTGAATGTCGAGAAATTTTCATAGAAAAATATTCGTTCATAGACAGGATTCGAACCTGCATCCTATACGGAACCGCCATATACGCTGGCGTGCCTTGACCACTCGGCCACCATGAACCTTATGGTAGACAAGGTCGAATTTACTGTTATAAACTACAATCTTCCATGAATCTCTCGTACATTCATAACTGCTCTGGCGTATCGAATGTAAACAAATGACGTCATATGTTAAGAAATGGACGAGGTCCGACAATTTATTTATTAAAGACATTTTTATTTATGTTTAACGTTGTTATTTTTTATAGATACAAGTATTTAAGCAAATGCTCTGTTTATGATAAACAGTATTAAATAACATTTACCGGCCTGAATGTCCGAGAAATTTTCATAGAAAATATTCGTTCATAGACAGGATTCGAACCTGCATCCTATACGGAACCGCCATATACGCTGGCGTGCCTTGACCACTCGGCCACCATGAACCTTATGTAGACAAGGTCGAATTTACTGTTATAAAACTACAATCTTCCATGAATCTCGTACATTCATAACTGCTCTGGCGTATCGAATGTAAACAAATGACGTCATATGTTAAGAAAATGGACGAGGTCCGACAATTTATTTATTAAAGACATTTTTTTATTTATGTTTAACGTTGTTATTTTATAGATACAAGTATTTAAGCAAATGCTCTGTTTATGATAAACAGTATTAAATAACATTTACCGGCCTGAATGTCTTTTTCATAGAAAATATTCGTTCATAGACAGGATTCGAACCTGCATCCTATACGGAACCGCCATATACGCTGGCGTGCCTTGACCACTCGGCCACCATGAACCTTATGGTAGACAAAGGTCCAATTTACTGTTATAAACCACAATCTTCCATGAATCTCGACATTCATAACTGCTCTATCGAATGTAAACAAATGACGTCATATGTTAAAAATGGACGAAAATGACAATTTATTTAAAATGTCATTTTTATTTATGTTTAACGTTGTTATTTTTTTTATAGATACAATTTAAGCAAATGCTGTTTATGATAAAATGTATTAAATATTTTACCGGCCTGAATGTCCGAATTTTCATAGAAAATATTCGTTCATAGATAAACCTGCATATACGGAACCGCCATATACGCTGGCGTGCCTTGACCACTCCAGCCACCATGGACCTTATGGTGTCGAATTTAGGTATTATAAACTACAATCTTCCAATATCTCGTACATTCATAACATGCTCTGGCGTATCGAATGTAAACAAATGACGTCATATGTTAAGAAATGGACGAGGTCCGACAATTTATTTATTAAAAACATTTTTATTTATGTTTAACGTTGTTATTTTTATAATACAATTATTTAAGCAAATCCTCTGTTTATGATAAACAGTATTAAATAACATTTACCGGCCTGAATGTCGAGAAATTTTCATAGAAAATATTCGTTCATAAATTCGAACCTGCATCCTACCATAACCGCCATATACGCTGGCGTGGTTGAAGGCACTCCAGCCACCATGAACCTTATAGTAGACAGGTTCGAATACTGTTATAAACGAATAATCTTCCATGAAAATCAATACATTCAGGCTCTGGCGTAAATGTAAACAAATGACGTGTTTGTTAAGAAATGGAGAGGTCCGACAATTTATTTATTAAAGACATTTTATTTAAATTTAACGTTGTTACATAAATTAAAAAATAGTTATACAAATTTATTGTCAAATGTATATAAACAGTTATTTGTTTAACATTTACCGCTGCCTGAATGTCGAAATTTTAGATTTATTTATACGGAAAATATTCGTTCATAAACAGTAAATTCGAACCTGACATCCTATTCATGGTGCCAGTGGTATACACGCCTTGACCACTCCGGTTCCCATAAACTTATGGTAGATGCAGGTTCGAACTGTTATAAACGAATATTTCCATGAAAATCGTCATTCATTCTGGCTGGCGTATCGAATGTAAATACTGTTTATGTTAAAAAGAGACGATTTGCTTAAATACAATTTATTTATAAAAACAACAACGTTTAAAACATAAATTGTTATTTTTTTAGATAAATAAATTGTAAGGAAATGTCCATTTTTATGATAAACGTATTTGTTAACATTTACCGGCCTGAATGTCCGAGAGATTTTCATTTGTTCGTTTATAACAGTAAATTCGACCTTGTGTTCCTATATATAACCGCCATATACGCTGGTCAAGGCACGCCACTCGCCTATGGCGGTTCTTATAGGTATGACAAGTTCGAATTTACTGTTATAAACGAATATTTTCCATGAAAATCTCGACATTCAGGCCTGTATCGAATGTAAACAAATGACGTCATATATTAAAAATGGACGATTTCCGAAAATTTGTTTATTAAAAAAATAACAACGTTAAACATAAATTTCTTTTTATAAATTGTTTTTTATACCAAGTCCATTTTAACATATGACGTCATTTGTTTACATTCGATATTAAATAACATTTACCGGCCTGAATGTACGAGATTTTCATGGAAAATTTCGTTTATAACAGTAAATTCGAACCTTGTCTACCGGAACCGCCATATACGCTGAGCGGTCAAGGCACGCCAGCGTATATGGCGGTTCCTTATGGATGCAGGTTCGAATACTGTTATAAACGAATATCTTCCATGAAATTCTCGTACATTCAGGCTCTGGCGTATCGAATGTAAACAAATGACGTCATATGTTAAAAATGGACGATTTCCGACAATTTATTTATTAAAAAAATTTTTTATTTAAACATTATAAAAATATTTTTAATAAATAAAATTGTCGGACTCGTCCATTTTTAACAATGACGTCATTTGTTTACATTTAAATGTTAAAAAATTGTCGTTTATAACAAACCTTGTTCTAAATTGTCGACATTCCATATGGCGGTTCCGTAACCATTCGAATTGGTCAACGAATATTTGTTTAAAATTCATATTCAGGCCAGAATGTTATTTAATAAATGAGCTTTGCTTAAATATTGTATCGATAAAAATTAAACATAAATAAAATTGTCTGTTATTAAATAAATTGTCGGACCTCGTCCATTTCTTTAACATATGACGTCATTTGTTTACATTCGAACGCCAGAGCAGTTTATGAATGTACGAGATCATGGAAGATTGTAGTTTATAACAGTAAATAACTTTACCTTTAAAATACCATATATATTCAAGGCACGCCAGCGTATATGAAGATTTTATTCGAATCCTGTCTATGAACGAATATTTTCGAAAAATTATCGACATTCAGGCTGGTAAATGTTATTTAATACTGTTTATCATAAACAGAGCATTTGCTTAAATAATACTTGTATCTATAAAATAACAACGTTAAACATAAATAAAAAATGTCTTTAATAAATAAATTGTCGGACCTCGTCCATTTCTTAACATATGACGTCATTTGTTTACATTCGATACGCCAGAGCAGTTATGAATGTATAGATGGAAGATTGTAGTTTATAACAGTAAATTGACCTTGTCTACCATAAGGTTCCTGGTGGCGAGTGGTATATACGCCAGCGTATATGGCGGTTCAAATGTCTATGAACGAATATTTTCTATGAAAATTTTCGACATTCAGGCCGGTAAATGTTATTTAATACTGTTTATCATAAACAGAGCATTTGCTTAAATACTTGTATCTATAAAAAATAACAACGTTAAACATAAATAAAAATGTCTTTTAATAAATAAATTGTCGGACCTCGTCCATTTCTTAACATATATATATATATATATAGTTGTATCCATTACGTTCATTTACGTGCTAATACACTTGCGAAAGGTATAAATCCTCTTCTTCTTCTCCCTCCAGCTATAGGTAAATAGCAAGGCAGACTGGGTTCTATAGACTTGTATGGCAATTGGTCTATGAGAAGGCCAACTATGAATTCAAAACTTGCGTTGGGTCGTTTGACGACCTTGTGGCAAATAGGGCACTAGGTTTCCTGTATTCAGCCCTTCGAAAAGTATGAATGATTCTACACAATACCTTCACCACTATAATCAAATTATACGTGCTGGGTGTCTGGGCTGTCCGTTATATATATATATATATATATATATATATATGCGATTGTATGGAGTGTTGTTTGTGACCTTAGTTTTCACGCTTTCACGATCTTGAGTGCTGGTATTAATAATTCTCGATGTAATATAACACTGTTATAAATAATATATTAATAATAAATAAACATTTTTTCTCCACACGAAAAATCAGCACCTGAAAATTGTGCTTTGCATGAAACTCAGAATCGCGCTACCGGTGAAGAATAAAATGTATATATATATAATATTAAAATACATAGATAGATAACGAACATACTGAAATAGATAGATAGATATATAACGAACAGACTGAGATAGATAGATACAAGGTAACCAAAAAAGTCCTGTCCGTTTTTAAAGGAAAAAAAGAAAACGCTTCACAGTATGTCTAACTTATATTTAGTCTTCGAAGTAATCGCCATCGGCATCCAGCACCTTCTGCCAACGTGTCTCCAGCTGTTCAATGCCTTTGCGGTAGAACTTGGGGGGTTTTGACGCAAAGAGGTCCGTGAGGGCTTTGCGCAAGTCTGCTTCATTGGTGAAGGATTTCCCACGAAGATGATTATTCAGGGAGTGGAAGAGGTGGTAATCGGATGGCGCAAGGTCAGGTGAATAAGGTGGATGGCACAAAGTCTCCCACCCAAGTTGCTGTATGGTATCCCTGACCACTCGCGTGACATGCGGCCTGGCGTTGTCATGGAGGAAAAGCACACCTTTGCGATTCACCAGTGCTGGCTCATTCTGGTGCAATGCCTGTTGCACATGTTTCAGTTGCTGCGAGTATAGGTCTCCAGTGACCGTTTGGCCCATTGGTAGCAGTTCATAGTGAACCACTTGACGACCAGACACAAAGCATAATCTTGCGTGGGTGCATAGGCGGTCTTGCGGTGTGAGGGACAGCAGCCTGAGGAGACAACCAATGTCTGGAACGCTTGGGAGTTTCGTACAGAACCCACTTTTCATCACTGGTAAGCACTTGATTGAATAAGGATGCGGTACGGTGGCAAGAAAACAGCGATACGCAGGCTGCCACTCGTTTTCCCTTGTGGACCTCCAACAGCGTTTGCAGAACCCACTTGCTCAGTTTGTACGTCTTACCTAAGCGGTACAGCTGAAGTCTAACTGTTTCATCGGAAACGTTGAACTGTCTTGCAAGTTCACCACACGTTAGACTACTGCCCTCTTCAATGGCCGCCTTCAGGATTCCGTCATTCAAGACCTGTGGTCGTTCACTGCGAGGCTCATCATGGAGAGACAAATCTCCCGACTTATATTTTCGAAACCAACGCCTTGCAGTACGTTCATCCACAGCACTATCCCCAAACGCTTGACATATGTGGCGACTTGATGCAGCTGCTGATAAGCCCACTTTGAAGTCGTAAAGCAAACAGCCCTGAACGAGTTCTCTAGACACTTCCATCCTTCTCACAGCTGTCCGGCTTATAACTGATGGCCGGGCACGGTCCGCGTCTGATGTTCCTACTTCCGGATGTCCGAATCTGAAAACAGTTGCTACACGCATTTCGTATATATTTCAACTTCATTCAATGACAAATCAAAAAACGGACAGAACTTTTTTGGTTACCTTGTACATACATACATATATACATACATTATGAAATAGATTATGTCCGATAATTATTTTAAGATATTTTCTATGAAATTTCTCGGACATTCTGGCCGGTAAAGGTTGTTAATACTGTTTATTATAAACAGGGTATTTACTTAAATATGTGTATCTATAAAAAATAACGTATAAACAGAAAATATATTAAAATACATAAATACATACATACATATATAAGAACAGACTGAGATAGACAAATGAATAGCCAGATAGATAGATAGATAGATAGATAGATAGATAGATAGATAGATAGATATAAACATACATACTCGGGTAGGTTGATTTTTCACTTTTTTTTAAATATCAAAAAGAATAATGTACCGAAAGTTGTGTATAGACCTAGTAAGTACCAATACAAAAAATTAGATCTGACACTTCAACGGTTTTTTGAGCATGTAGCATCAAAGATCATAGACAAAAATTCACTGAAAAATCCTCGATTTTGCAAGATTTAGCTTAAATATTGATGAAAAAAAAAACAATTTCAGTATTAAAATCAGGAAATGTTGTTATTTTATTTTATCAAAATGAAATAAATATATAATGAAAATAAATAATAATATGAAATATATAATGAAATAAATATAATATGAAATTATAACTAATCTTCAAATTGAAATTCTGCCCCCCCCATCATAAGTGACGACTTTTTACCACATGAATTAAGCAATAATAGTTGAATATATTAAAAATTGTTTTTTTTTCTATTATGAATGAAATTAGACAAACAAATATGGAAAAACAAATAATAGTTTAATAGGGCTTAATATATAGAGTCAAATAGCTCCATATAAGAGCCCTTAGACGAAATTGATGTTCTCAATTTCTAACACAAAACTTTTGCTATTATGTGCTGGTGCCTTTCTTCAAAGCCATACACAGATTGGGAAGCTTCTGTTGTTAAATTGACTGCCAGGTCCATGCCCTGAGAATGTGAGGGCAAATCTGGCAAGTCAAGCTACGATAAAATCCTTAAAATGATTCCATAAATCGGTAAAACTAATTTAGTCAATTTTATATGAATAAATATTTAATAACCTAATGGTCAAAATTCTTTTTATAGCTTCTTCCTTCACTTCCAGTTCATCAGATTTGACCATTGTATATAAATTATTTTCAGGCAGTAAGGCAAAAGCATTGTATTGTATATTTTTCAATGTGATCTGTTGGATTTCATATGGTTGCTTCTTGATCCTTTGGATCACATTGAAAATATACATTTGCTGATTGTGGAACTTGTTATTTCTTTTAATTTCAAACCAGCAAATGGTATAAACATTCACAATAAAATTTATTAAATTGTGGAGTTTAGTTGAAAGATTTTGTGGGTATGCACCACAAGTCCATAAACACATCAGCCTGATGGCTAAAGTTAACCACCTTGCCTGGTTTAATGGATCTATTTTTTATGATGCAAATCTAAAGTACAATTTAACTCTAGATTTACCCAGTGTATATTCATAAATGAGTCTTTGGTCACAACTAATGGTATCTGTATTTTCAATTTTAAAAATAGAATCCAGAGGACTGACAACAACTGAAAATGATAAATTGGGGTAAATTATGATAATCATTTGTACATAATTTACCCAGTGGACCATTGAATGTGGTAGGGCTTTTTGCGGTACCATCTACATGTTTAAAAAGAGCTCTAAACGGAAGTTCATTTTGGTGAAAGGAGCAACCAATAGTGTGAAGATTTCTGTTGTTTTCTTTCTAGAAATTCAACAAGTCCACCTTCACAGCCTGTATTGGCATTTGTGGTGTCAACAAGGATAGCCTTGATAGTGCACACACTGTTGAATTCGTGCAAAACAGCCACTTTCTCGGCTAGAACAGCACCAGTTGAACCAATATTAGGAAGAACCCTATGTGTCAGATATTCACTTTCATATGTCATCTCCTTTGTGACAGTCAAGTGACGTTCTGGTCCCTTGGCTTTTTCAGAGTTTTCTCTCCATCTTCCTCCACCCTTCCCTTGTACATTAGTGTGTCTTTGTCAGTTCTCCCATCAACTCCATTACAAAGATCTTCCACCTTTTCATCAAGCTTTTGATGGGCATTTGTTTTCACTTTAGCCTTTGCTCTATCAATTTTACATTTATCTATATAAATATCTTTTTATATTAATATTGCGGATACGAAGGCCCATTGCCCTCAAATCCAAGAACAAGGCATTGGTAAGGCTGGCTCCAAGATTGTAAGATACATCACCCTTGATCAACTCAACAGCATACCGTGGAATTTTGATAAAGCTACAAGGCCATTTGGGATGCTTTTTCCTGCCATTTTTATTAAAATATCTGAAAAAGAAAATACATGTATTATCAGAAATTACACAAATATTTTCAAAATAAATTTTTAAAAGTTTTAAAAAGTTCGAAATACATTATTAAATTAAAAGTAATGTTTACTTATCTAAAAGTAGAGTTACATTAGCTCGTAAACAGGCTTTTTAATAAAACACTTTGAAAATATAAACAAATTACAATAATTATAAAAGTTGTATTTTTTAAATAGTTAAGTATATTTTGATGAAAAATACAATAGATATTTGTGCTAGCTAAAAGTGTAAACAGTAAACAAAAATAAAATGAACTTACAAAAGGAGGTAATTACTACCGGTAAATACCGAAGAAATATCCAGTAAATAAAACACGTTCATAAGTAGTTATTTGTATTTTAAACTAAATATTTTAGTATGTTTTATTTTTGGTAATTTCATTTAATTTATTAAGAGAATAGACACTAAACTTAAAAATATCCATTATTAAGCGTATTTTCTTCTTTTCTTTTCGTTAAGGCTCGGATTTAATTTAACCTACACATGTTTCCGATGACACTGATACGATGATAAAAATCGCAATTTATTTTGTCTTTAAGTTCGATTGCTCAAATAACTACGAAGTTTAGAAGAAAAAATATTTTTGTGGTAATTTTTTACGTTATTTTGCAACTTTCCTAGAATTATATTTTTTTTACATTTTCCAAAATCGACCTACCATAATACATACATTCATACAGACAAAATGGCTGGATACTCATATCCAAGGATGAGAGCCTGATAAGCTAAACCTTATTGCAGATGCCCGCGAAAGCACATTTTTTAACACCCACAGAGCCCATCTCAGCTGACCTTAGTTACAGTTTCTGGGAGAAAGTACATTATCTAGTGTGATCAATAACCTGAAGAAGGCCAGCCAGCTCAAACCCCATATCACGATGATTTCTGACTTCATGCTATCACAACTATCGATGCGCTCCCAATTTCGCTTGGGTAAACCCGTGGTATGGTTTTCACACACGCTGGGATCGCCTCCTCTAGACCGATATCATTTTGTTTCCATCTCACTGGGGCAATACACACTTTTCTATTTCTATTGTCATACTCAAACTTAATGGGGTTGCTTTTTAGAACTAGTCAAAAGTTATAAAGGAATTAGTGTAAAAACTTATCCTTTATATTCAGTGTAATATTCCTAAGATCTCTTATAAGCAAGAAACATCCTACACATCAAGATATTTGTTGGACGTAAATAAAGAGAAACTAAATCATTATCAATATCTTGTGAGTTTCACTCCCTAACCATTAATTTCTAATAAATATATTGTAAGTGGTTAACTCTCTAACCATTAATTTCTAATAAATATCTTGTGAGTTTAACTCTCTAACCATTAATTTCTAATAAATATCTTGTGAGTTTAACTCTCTAACAATTAATTTCTAATAAATATCTCGTGAGTTTAACTCTCTAACCATTAATTTCTAATAAATATCTCGTGAGTTTAACTCCATAACTATTACTTTCTAATAAATATCTCGTGAGTTTAACTCCGTAACTATTACTTTCTAATAAATATCTTGTGAGTTTAACTCTCTAAACATTGTTTCCTAATAAATATCCTGTGAGTTCAACTCGTTAACCATTACTTTCTAATAACACTTATCCACTTTCAGTATAATATTTTTAAGATCTCTTATAAGCAAGAAAGATATTTGCTGAATTTAACCAGCAAGGAACGAAATCGTTGTCAATATCCAGTGAGTTATGGGAAAAATAAATAAAATCGATAAATAAAATAATAAAAATTCATAATAAAAAAAATGAAAAAGAAATACATTTTTCCCATCCTCCTAAAAGTAAAGGAACCTGAAATACGATTGCCCCACTTGGTTTCATCAAACGCCGTAGGGTGGCGCTGGTTTAATCTATAAAATTCAAACATTTTCCTTCCTCATCCTCTTTCTCTTTTGTGCTTCAAGATGTAGAACCACGTGGTAATTACGTATCCGCTGGGGAAAGTAAGCTTCACCGATCCCCTGACGACTGAACTTTCTGTTCAATTTCCAACACATGGGGTTTGCACGTGTCTTCCAAAACAAATGCAATAAATCTAACTTCTAGACAAATAAAAAGAAAAAGGACATACCACAACCATATTTAAGACTTTCAATGATAAAAATAAGTACAAACTTTTCTTTGGTTGTTCTAAATCTGCTCAAGGCTGAATTGAGCTCGACCTTCAACACGATATTTGTACAGTTCATATAAAAAAGTTAAAATATATGGTCCGTGGTAGAAACCTATTTTTTGTATGTTTTACTTTAACTGTTTATCATAAGTAAATACGCACACTCCTACATACGCAAAAACACGCAAACATTAATTCCCATAGAATTTACCACTCAAACCTTTGCTTTCAAAGAAACACTTATATTCGTTAATTGGCTTCTCTCAGGAAATAGAAATTATTATTCATTTAAAGTTTTGTTCGCTTCTCTTCTGTCATTTTTCAGCCAGCTTCATAATTCTAACCTCACAGAAATGTTTATATTCCTCAGCAAAGTTATTCTCTATGTTCTATTTATATGCTCCAGGAAATAGAAATTATTTTTATTTAAAGTTTATTCTGTTCTCTTCTGTGTATCTTTCCGACAACTTCATAATTCCATCCTCACAGAAATGCTTATATTTCTCATCAAGGATGTTTATATGTGCTATATGTATTCTGTCAGTAAATAGAAATTATTTGTCATTTACCTTTTGCTTCTGTTACTTTCTATCATCTTTCAACCAATTTCATAACTCCATCCTCACAGAAATGTTTATACTTCTCAGCGAATATATTTTTTATGTTCTATTTATATGCCCCAGGAAGTAGAAATTATTTTTATTTAAAGTTTGTTCTGTTCTCTTCTGTCATCTTTCCGACAACTTCATAATTCCATCCTCCCAACAATGTTTATATTACTCAGCAAATATATTCCATATTTATATTCTCAAGGAA